TAAGTGAGATTAGCGGCAACCACGCTGGCGATGCTAGCGGGCTATTTGCTAATAGCGGACTCGGGAAATCAAAATAAAACTAGTGATAACAAGGTGCTCGGTTTTTGTTGTAGAATACGATAGGGGATATATTCACACGTTATAGAAACGAAAATGATGGTGTATAAAATTGATTTTAAGATAAAAAAAATTAGACGACAAAGAATTAACTTGACGGAGCTTAAACTCAAAAAAAGCAGCTAAGGGGCCAGGTTATTAGTGCAATGTCCCGCAAGAGATTTAATATGACATCATTGTCATAAAAAGGGACATTATGCTAGAGTGTGTAAGTCAAAGAAGGTGTATGAGGTGAATATAGCAGCGCTAACTTTGGATACAAAATAGGATATCACATTCCTTGGTTCACTGACATCTGATGTAGCAGGAAGTCCCTGGATGGCTGAAATAAAAATGGACAATTTCGAGACAATGTTCAAAATTGACACGGGGGCTGATGACACCGCAGTTCCTGTGACGCTGTACAACCAGGGCTAGTTCCACAAACTGAAACCTAGGAAAGTCCTCCAGGGGCCAGGTGGAACCTCACAGCCACCCTCAGTGGGTTAGGGTTAGGCCCTAACCCTAACCCTAGCCCTAACAGGACATTTATGTTGTAGATGGGTTGTACATGCCATTGTTGGGCAGGCCAGCAGTTACTATGCTTCAACTGGTAGCTAGGCTGGATGTTGTCAGCTTAACCTCCAAAGAACGAGTGGAAAAGGAGTTTCCAAAACTCTTCAGTGGCTTAAGCAAAATGGAGAGTGAGTACAGCATTGTGCTAAAGCCGGGTGCAAAACCTTTCTCTCTCTCGACACCAAGATGCATTTCCCTCCCTCTCTTACCAAAAGTGAAGGAAGAGTTAAAGCGTATGGAACAGCAGGGTGTAATTTCAAAGTGTAAAGTAAGAATTTGCACAGATCTCACGGAACTGAACAAATTGGTTATGAGAGAAAAACACCCTCTCTTTTCTGTCGAAAACACATTAGGACAACTTGCGGGAGTCAAAGTGTTTTCCAAGCTTGATGCCAATGCAGGTTTTTGGCAGATTCCACTTTCAAATGAATACTCTTTGCTCACAACTTTATAACCCCATTTGTCCGATATTGTTATAACCGTCTATGCTTTGGTATCTCTTCTGCACCAGAGCATTCCAAAAGCGCATGTCCAGAATTCTTGAGGACTGGAAGGTGCTGTTTGTCAAATGGGTGACGTGCTCGTCTGGGGGTCATCGCAGAGCAAACACAATGAGAGGCTATGATGGGTGCTCTCAAGACTTCAGGAAGCAGGAGTCACACTCAATGAGAAACGTGAGTTTTCCAAGGTGAAGATCAAGTTTCTCGGACAGATTGTTGAGGCGGCAGGGGTGAGTGCAGACCCAGACAAGCTAGAGGCAGTTAAGGTAAACAACCAGGTAATGTCAGTGAAGTGAGGTGGTTTTTGGGAATGTTATCCACCTTGGTAAATTCTTAGCACATTTGGCAGCAAAACCACAGCCACTCAGAGACTTATTGAGAAACTCCAATATGTGAGTTTGGGGGTCTGGCGCGGTATGATCCAAACAAGGATACGGTTATTTCTGGGGATGCCTCTTCACACAGACTGGGTGATGTTCTCCTCCAGAAGTAAGCAGACCACATATGGAAACCTGTGGCATTTGCTTCGAAGGCTCTCAGTAACACAGAGCAGCGATACGCGCAAATAGAGAAGGAGGTGTTGGCCTCCACATGGCCCTGTGAGAGGTTTGCAGAGCTTCTCATTGGGAAAAGTTTCCACATTGAAACTGATCATAAACCTCTAGTTCCTCTGTTCAGCTCCAAGAGCTTGGATGAACTCCCTCCACACATTCAGCGACTTCGTATGCGTCTTCTAAAGGTTTTCATACACCATATCACATGTGGCCAGCAAAAACATAGCAACAGTAGATGTGTTGTCTAGAGCTCCCATAAACAGTACAGCAGAAGGGCTTTCTGAAGAAGACATCAATCTGTATGCTGACTCTGTCATGGCAAGCCTTCCAGCTACTGAAAAGAGGCTCAAAGAGGTCCAAGAGCACCAAGAAAATAATTCTATACTCCAGCAGCTAAAGAAATACTGTGTGGAAGGGTTGGCCAGATAAGTTTTCCATTGACAAAACATTCCAACCTTACATGTCATTCTCAGGAGACCTTTCTGCTCAAAATTGGCTGTTATTGAGTGGAATCAGGATTGTTGTTCCAAAGTCACTCCGAGCTGAGATACTGGAAAAAATGCATGAAAGTCATCATGGCATAAAAAGGTGTAGAGAGAGAGAGAGCCAAGCAGTCAGTTTGGTGGCCCGGTTTCAGTAAAGACCTAACAAAAATGATTGAGAACTGTGACACGTGCACGTGAAAGAATACATTTCAAAGAAACCATGCTGCCTACTGAATTTCCAACAAGGTCGTGGTCTAAAAAGACAACAAGCAATACTTGGTCATTGTGGACTACTTTTCAAGGTTTTTATTAGGTTTCAAAAATGGGACAACGGGCCACAGTTTGCTTCAGATTGTTTCCGTGTCTTTGCACAAGACTGAGGTTTCGACCATGTGATGTCGAGTCCTCACTTTCCGCAGAGCAACGGGGAGGACAACCAAGAACCTCCTGAAAAAGTCGGTTGACCCCTATCTTGCGCTAATGTCTTACCGAGCAGCCCCTCTTGCCAAATGTTTACAGTCCTACCGAGCTTTTCATGGGAAGGAAACTCCGAACACAAGTTCCTGTGATTCCATCTCAGCTCAGTCCAGAGTGTGCGGATTTGGAAAAGCTGAAAAAGATAGAACTGACATACACAGAAACAGAAGCAAAATTTGACCGAAGACACAAAGTACTTGACATGACACACTTACGACCAGGTGAACATATATTGGTCAAAGACACTTCTGAAAGGGGCACTGTTGTGTCCACTTCTGGCTCTCCTAGATCATAACTTATAGAGACACCCAGAGGTACCTTGACTAGAAACAGGTTTCATCTCTCACCAACTCCAAAATCTCCTGTGACATCTGACCTTCCAGATTCAGCCAATATACAGGTATCTCCGTGCTCTGAAAGTTCAACTTCCACGCCTGAAATTCAGAAGGTATGCCAACCGACCTCACCATGTGCCAGAAGGTATCCTTCCCAGATTAGAGCTCCTCCCGGGTATCTAAAAGACTTTGTTTGTAGTTAGAGATACCCTGGAAAAACACTGAGTGGTCAATGGGGCAGAATATTCCCCACACTCGGTTGAAGATTCTGGGTAGTCAATGGGGATATTCCCCACACTCGGTTGAAGATTCTGGGTAGTCTAGAATTGTACAGAATTATTATGTACAGCATTGTATATTGTGTGTGTTATGGTACTGTGAGGAGGATAATAAAAGTTGTCAGAAGTTATGGCTGGCTGTTATGTCGTCCATCCTGTGAAAGGTTAATGTTGTACCTACTAAACAACAGAACACAGTCTTTCATAATTTAGCCGGTTTAATACCAGGTAGCGGTACCCATCCTTGCTTACAAGAGAAGCAAAGAAGCATGAGTTGCAAAGCTACATGACAGTATATATTGCATCTGCATTTTCTAAATACATCAAAAGTGGAAAAATAACTAGTCGTTCTGAAAACAACAGTGAAGAACAAAATTAAAAATAAATCTGTCTTTCTTACAAGTGTTACCCTCTCTTCTTCAGCTTCCTGAACAAGAACATTTTGTAAAAAGCTTCTACTTTTATTCATGACAGAGTAAGCAAGTGACACATATGCATTATAAGACAATTGAACATAATATGAAAATCATAAGAAAGCACACTGATATAAATTATATCATGAAGCAAAATGACAAACAAGAATAAAACTTTTTGACATTGTTCTTTGGGAAGGAACTCTATCTTTAAGTTGATCTGAATCTCAGTTGAATCTGCTGGTTTTGAAGACAAAGATTAACTTTATTCACTGTGAAAATTTTAGATAATGTTTCTTCGTCATGTCACTTGTAATGACAGATTTATCCAGATTATATTTTATTGCTTGATGCATTATTGTGTCACATTTGGTGAGGATGCAGCATCAGATCTGAAAGTGCTGGATCTGAAGATGATCTACTTACTGTGAATGTTTTTTGTATGTCTGCGTAGAGCAGAAGAATGATTGAAACTCTTCCCACATGCAGTGCAGTGATACGGTTTCTCTCCAGTGTGGATCCTCTCATGTGTTTTCAGGATTTCTGGCCGACTGAATCTCTTGCTGCAGTGTGAACACTTGTACAGTTTCTCTCCAGTGTGGATCCTCTGGTGCAGTTTTAAATGGCACGCTGAAGTAAAAGTCTTCTCACACTCAAAGCACATGTACTCTCTCACACCAGTATGTATTTTCTGATGTATTTTCAAACTTTGTAGTAATGAAAAACTCTTTCCACACAAATAACATGAATGGGGCTTCTCCTTTGTATGAACTACCAGGTGTTTTTTAAGTTCTGAAGCTCTCAAAAATGTTTTGCTGCATTGATCACATGTGTGCCGCTTCTCTCCAGTGTGGATATTCATGTGATCCTTAAGATGTGCTGATTGTGTGAAACTCTTCCCGCACTGATCACAAGTGTATGGTTTCTCTCCAGTATGAACTCTCATGTGTACTGTAAGGCTTCCTTTTATTGTGAAACTTTTCCCGCACTGGTCACATGTGTAAGGTTTCTCTCCAGTGTGGATCCTCTCATGTGTTTTCAGGATTTCTGACCGACTGAATCTCTTGTCACAGTGTGAACACTTGTATGGTTTTTCTCCAGTGTGAATCCTCTCGTGCCATTTTAAACACTTTGCTGAAGTAAAAGTCTTCTCACACTCAAAGCACATGTACTCGCTCACACCAGTATGTGTTTTCTGATGTACATTCAAACTTTGTGGAAATGCAAAACTCTTTCCACACAAATGACATGAATGTGGTTTTTCCTTTGTATGAACTCTCAGGTGTGTCCTTAGGTATGAAGCGCACAAAAATGCTTTGCTGCATTGATCACATGTGTACAGTTTCTCTCCAGTGTGGATGTTTGTGTGTCTCTTAAGGTTTGCTGAGTGTGAGAATCTCTTCCCGCACTGATCACAAGTAAACGGTTTCTCTCCTGTATGAACTCTCATATGCTCCGTAAAGTTTCTTTTGTGTGTGAAACTCTCCCCACATTGATCACATGTGTGCGGTTTCTCTTCAGTGTGGATCCTCTCTTGTATTTTCAGGGCTCCTAACTGACTGAATCTCTTGTCACAGTGTGAACACTTGTAAGGTTTCTCTCCAGTATGAACTCTCAATTCTTCATTGTCCTCGTTTTCTTCAATCAACTCTGAAATAAAAGCAAAAACAGTTTATTTGTCAGTAACTCATAAAAAAGTTAAAAGACATCAAATCGAACCCTGATGTAACAGTGGAAAGTAGACAATTGCTATACAACCCAGACAGCTACATAGTGTTGGCCCAGATCCGGCCCACATCTGTCCCGCGTGAAATCCATGTGGGCCAGATGTGGGCCAACACTATGTTGCTGTCTGGGAATATTTTGATATTTTTGATGAAGTTTTATAAATACATCTAGTACATTTTATATATACGTCCCTGAAAATGTCCATGAATGAGGTACATTGATCTTCAAATTATGATTTTTAAAACATTATAGGCACATATCCCATGTTTCTGTAGGAAGAATTTTAAATGTGTTTGATCAACAACACAATCATCTAGCATAATTCATTTTGTTGCAAAAAAAAAGTACCCAGTTTATAGAAAGTGTCCCTTATTATTTGATTATTTAGTTACAGTATATTATTGCAGAGCTAAGATATTTCTAATTACAACAAACGCAATCTAAAACTACTTGAAACTTTATAACCGTCAGCATTATTAATGAAGAATGAAGAATAAACACCAACCTGTTAGTTCTTCAGTATCTTCAGTGTGTTTGATTCTGCAGGGTTCTGGATCTCTCATCTTCTCTCTGTCCTCTTTAATAAACTCAGTCTTTGCAGATTTCTTCCTGACGCTTTGATGCTCGTTTTCACTTGTAAACTGATGGAATATTCCAGCTGAATTTCTGTGTGGAAGAAGCAGATTTGCCAAAATCATCAAGAAATCAAAGAGGCACTAAGTGTTGGCTCTTTGTATATCATTATATAACTATATTAAAAGAGTGTCTGTCAACACAAAAGCAAGCGTTGAGCACATCAATTTAAAATGCTCATTCAGTAACACTGCACTCACATAAGTCACACATTCTATGTATTTCTGTGTTGTCTGTCTTTCTAAATAACATTAAGAATTAAAAATGAAAGAATAAACAGAAATCTGATGATACCCATCTTCATTAACAACTACAGGTAAATAACTACACTAGAGCACTTATGTAAATATACTCCTGAGACCCGAAAAAACACCATCTGTATTGTAAAAAGTGCTATACAAATAACGGTGACTTGACTTGGCTACATTAATAATATAATAAAATTCTATATGAATATTCCACATTTCTGACACAATACCATGGTGCAGTTAGTGTTACAGTAAATTAATGGTAAATGATGTTGATCTGTAGATTGAAAGTCTTCTGACTGTATCGTTCTCAGCGTTTCTGCTGTTTCTCACACTCCTGGAGGGTCAGTGCTTTAGATCGCTGACCCTCCACCCGTTTGCCTTTGCCCAGCAGCTCCGGGAAGCCTGCCGACAATGGTTATTGCCGGAGGATCGCGACGCCAACGGGTGGTGGATGTGGTGGTCCTGGAACAGTTGTCCATGCAGCTTCTGAAACGGACAGCCGAATGGGTTCAGTGCCATCGGCCAGCATCCCTGGAGACCGCCATCCAGCTGGCGGAGGACCATTTGGGGACCCCGTATGGGAGGTCTTCAAGCAGCTCTCTCTCTCTCGGTTCCCCCTCCCTCTCGACCGGTCCCCACTCCCAGGTTACGGGAGCACCGGAGGCCCATTCCTGCCCCGAGAATGCGGCAGGAGTGGCCCACACAGCTGACTTCACGAAGGGCCAGCCACCTCACTGGCCCGACCATCCCCACCTCCAAGGACAGGGGTTTCTTTTTCAGCCCCTGTATCCTTCTCATCCCTCTCTCTCTCGACTCAGCTGCGGGAGGAGGTTCCCGCTGCCACCAGTGTGGAGGGGAAGTCCGGGCTGCTCTGCTGGCACTGTGGGGAGCCTGGGCATTTCCGGTATCAGTGTACATCCATGGATGTGGATACACTGATCCAGGTCCCTGAGGTGTCGCCGAGCGCCCCCGATCGAGCTGGGAAGTATTATATACCAGTAAGTGTTAGGGGAAATACCTATCAGGCTTTGGTGGATTCAGGTTGTAACCAGACCTCCATCCATCAACACCTGATGCAACCTGGGGCACTGGATACGAGCTGCATGGTGAAGGTGAGGTGTGTACACGGGGACATTCGCCAATGTCCTATTGCATTGGTCACGATTCAATTGGGGGCCCAAAAGCATCGAGTCGAGGCGGCGGTTATTCAGCCTCAGCCACCCAGTTATTTTGGGAACGAACTGGCCATTATTTTAAATGATGTGAAAATTGCTGGGGCTGATGAGGTGACCCCAGGTCCATCTGGAGTTGTCCCGGGGGGAGGTGACTCGACAGACACACACTCTCTCTGTCTCAGAAGTAGTAGCTCATATTCAGTAAGTCAATCTGGCCACTAGCGTTCACGACAATCCTTCACACGAACATATAAAACACAAAATCACTCAGCTCTGAATGAATTTAGCATGTTTTCCTCACACAGGGTTTCTGCAGACTTGAACAAGTTAAATTTAAGACCTTTTTAATACCACCTTATATGAAATTTAAGACCTAAACCTGTAATGGAAATACACATTTTATTACATACATATGTAATATTTAATGTGTATAAATTAAAAAGAAAACAAAATATCAATGCTGTAATAAATTATATTTATTACTACGATATACAGTGAACTTTTCATGTCAGCAGACAATATTCCATACAAAATATCCCCGCAAAATAACTGCATCACTGAGATTTTTGGTGGAGTAAACAATTTATTCTGAAGCAATGTTTCATCAGTGTTCTATCAGCTTTTACATACTTAAATCTGCATATTTACCTTTACAAAGGCCTATTTTTAACCTTTTGCGATGTATGCATCATCTTACATGTCAAATTATTACAATTTATCAATAAATTCAATATACACTATAGGGCTGCTACCAGTCAGATTAAATAATTTACACTGCAAATAACAATAATTACAACTGCAATAAATAATGTTATGAGATTAATGTTTTAAATGCATTTATGAGTATACAAATAAGAAATGTTGACACTTAATGAGTGAGTCATTGAGTCATTCATTCAACTGACTGAGTGTGTTATCATGCTGCTATCTTAAGGACTTTCGTGGACAGCTGACTCCTAAAGTTTTTGATATTCTTCATATGCTGTGTGGTGGTCAGATAAGTTTAAATAGATGTGTACCTTTTATGGGCATTTTACCTTTATAAAGCCATTTTTCTATGAGTGTGCATTATCTTTTGAGTCAAATTCTTATATTTAATCAGTGAATAAGAATAATAAGACATTTGGGCTGTTACCAAGCAAATTAAATCAGTATCAACAAAATTCATCTTTGCAATCCAGACATAAGCTGCATCTGAAGTGGCATTTAGATGTATTTACACACAGTTTAATGCAGGACATGAATGCATTTAACCTGCAGTTACAAATGCATAAATAATGTTTTGATATATTAAACATAAAACACTGAATACTGATATTTGAAATAATTTAAAAAATGAAAAGATACTTTAAATGTGAAATTAAAACCTCCAGTAGGTGGCAGACGAAACACCATCATGTTGCTCAGAGACGCAAAACAGCGCTGTGGCTTTGTTTGGAATTATTTTTGTTGGCGAAATAGTGCAAAAACAGGCAATATGGTGTCTAAAACGTAAGTCTCTTAATAAAACTTCTAGTTTATTGAACTGTTGTAAAAAATCAATATCACATTTGTATATATTAATTTTTGGAGAAAAAAAAGGCACTCTTCTGTGTGAACTTGAGTATAAATATACACATTTTCTGACCCCATGTCTTGAGTGAGCCTCAGCGCGAGTTTGTATTCTGCTAACTTATGACGCAGTAACTTACCGCGGGTCGGTCTATCCAATGATTGTAAAGTTATTAGGTCCATCAGACTGAAGATATTTTAGCGGTAATGAGACCAAAAATAATTAAGACCCATCGAATCCGAATTTAAGACTTTTTAAAGACCCGCGGACACCCTGCTCACATCATGTTTGTTGTCTGCTGATCTAAGTGTTCAAACAGCGCTGTACTCGATTAAAACAAGGCAGAAACTGCCTCCTCGCAGAGTATTGCAGAAACAAACTGTGTAAAGTGTAGTTTACAATTGTCTAAATAGTGAAAAACTGAATTGCTCACCTCTCCTCAGAAGACTCCACGCTACAGCTGCGGAAGCTGCTTCTTCTTCTTCTTCTTCTTCTTTTTCTTCTTCTTCTGTGTATTGGCGGTTGGCAAACCAGCTTTTAGGAGCATTACCGCCACCAACTGAGCTGGAGTGTGGAGCAGCAATGAGGAAGGACTCTCACTAACATAAATTATTAAAAAAAAAAAAAAAAATTCATTAATTAATACAAAAAAAACTTCATACAAATAAATAAACACAAAAATGACCAAATACAAATAATTATAACTAATCACATAAATAACACTCTTTCATGACTTAATAATATTCTCAAACATAATCTTGTTGCTTTTATATATTGCAACACCTCTTCTTTCGTACCTTGTTTCCTTGCCAACAGATGTTTACTGACATTTAAAATGTTAATTGTATAAACAACACGTGTCTTTGATGTTCATACTCTGTACAATATAATATGAGCTGTTCAGCTGTCTCTTCTGCATTACAATAACTGCACATAACCCATTGTGCTGCCGTTTTATTTGATAGAAGTCCCCATTAAGTCCAGTATGACCTATACGTGATCTTCTTATAACTGATTCTTCTTAATATTGTTGTGAATCCTCTTTCTTTACCCACATTTCCTTCAATCCTATAGAAATGTCTTCCCTTTGTTTCTCTGTCCCACATTTGCTGCATAGATTAATCCTAGCCTCTGCGAACGTCCCCCGGACGTCAGCGTGTAGGGTCCCCTTGACAGCGAGCGGACGTTCAAGGGGACGTTCACAGGACGTGCAGCGGCCATTCGAGACGTTTAGGGGACTTAAGCTTTAAGTCCTCTGAATGTTATTTTGTTTTACTTTTAGGCTAATCAAAGACAACAGACACGTGTATGGAGCAAAATACGTTTATTTTATTTGAACAATTGTAAAGTTGCGGTGCTCTTTCCGTGTGTGTCTGTGTGCGTCTCTGGTTGTCAGCTGTGGTTAGTCCGATGGCAATTCTTCCCATTGTCTTCTAACCTAAAACAACAAAATGAACACATTTGGATTTAGACCAAGCG